AGGCGAGTTGAGAGGTGATCAGGGAAGCGCGGTAGCAAAGAGGGGGACGGCCGAACCGTGTGAAGGAGAGAGGGGGCGAAGGAGAAAATTGGATGGATGGATGAGGGAGTAGGGAGAAGGAGGATGAATAGGGTGGGGAGGGTGAGGAGGCGGAGGGGGACGAGGAAGATGAGAAGGGATAGGAGGAAGGAGGAGGAGGAGGAGAGCAAGCAAAAGGGCCAGAGGTCTCTTGGATGCTTCTCGGAGCCTCTTGGGGTATCTCTTGGGCGTCTTGGGACGTCTTGGGGGTCTCTTGGCGGTCGTAGGGAGTTCTTCGGCGTCTTGGGTGCCTCGGGGGAGCCCCTTGGGGCCGCTTGGGATCCTTTGGGGGGCCTCCTGGGGGCCTCTTGGGGGCCTCTTGGGGCCATCTTGGGGCCATCTTGGGACTTCTTGGGGCCTCCTGGGCGCTTCTTGGGGCCATCTTGAAGGAGATCGGTCAACGAAGGGGGGGTCCTCGATTACGCCCCCCCCCCCCCCCCTCCAAGAGGCCAAAGTGGGGCCAAAACCTTGGTAAAACCAATGATTGTTGTTTCCTCGCCGAGGCCGTTTTGGACGCTCTAACTGCGCCCCCCCCCCCCCCCGGTCCAGGTCCACGGGGAGGGGGGAGGGGGAGGGGTACACCCTTCCCCGAAGCGGAAGAAGGAGGGGTGGAAGAGGAAACGTTCTAAACCACCTGCGCCCAGAGGGCTGGTGGGATTGTCATCCTCCGCGCGGCCCCTCAGGTCTTGGCGTTTGCAAGGTTTTTCGCAACAGATGATGTTGCCGCCTTGCGGGCACCAGGGCCTTTTACAGATCGATGCAGCTCGAGAGATGACGCAGAGAAACAGGATCTACGGGTAAGTCGGGCACGTCCCTCTACACGAGTTAGATTCAGAAATCGGCAAAAATAATCGGGGAGACGATGATTCGTCTATGTTTGACCATGTTTGCATATGTTCGGGTTACATTTCATTTTTCTTCCAAAATCCGCCTGTAGGAGGATGTGCCCGACCTAAATCTATGGTTTTGGTAGTCATTCTTCGCGATGCCGCAATTCTCGCTTGCAGCGTCAGATCCGAGGGGCGGCGGCGAGGCCACCAGAGAGGGCGAGGCCGCGGGCGACGGCGAAGTGGCGAGAGCCACCGTGGGCGGCCGCGCAGGACCCGCTGCCTGGACAAGTACCTGTGGGCGTGCCTCAAGCCGAGCGCCGTGCAGCCGTACACAGGCGCCCAGCCTTGAGCCGGGCATGTCCCTCTACAGGAGCCATATGAAAATTAACGAAAAATAGTACGGGGAAGATTTGTTGACTGTTTTTTTTTTTGTAATTCTGGAGTATGTTTTGACTATTTTGAATCTGTCGTCCCAAATCCCCCTGTAGAAGGACAGACCCGACCTAAACCCAGCCGCGGGCGCGCACTTTGGCGGATGCTGAGACGCGAAGCCCGGCCGAGGCAGGCCACCCACACCGCCAAGAGAGGGCCTAAGGTGCCGCCAAAACGGCCCCGGGATGGCCCCGAGAGGGCCCAAGCTGGCCTCAAAACGGCCTACTCGAGCGGGCGATCAGAGAACCCACGGTGGGGCCCAAAGATGACAAACACATCGATAGGCGAGTTCGGAAGCCCTGAGCCCAAAAACGTTCTCATCTCTTGGGGCCGCATGTTTTACTTCCGCCGCCTTCCGCCGAGCTTCCACCGGTTTCCGCCGGCGGAGGCGGCCTCGTTTTCCTTCCGCCGAGCTTCCGCAGGCTTTCCGCCGCGGCAGAGATGGCAGCTTCTATCCTCGAAGGCAGAGCCCTTTGTGGAGCGCCCCATCTGAAGGGTGGCAGCCACTCGCGCGGCGAGCCCAGGGGGGGAACCCCGGAGGGGGCGGGCCCTTCTCGGAAGGCACGGAGCGCCTCCGTCTGCCCAGGTTCCTGGGCCGCCTCCGAAGGCAGAGACGGCGTCTCAGGAGGCGCGAGGGCTTCGGAGGGGCCCCGCCGCCTTCTGAGGAGGCCTCCCCCTGCTCCCCTCCCTCCTGGGCCCGCCGCCGTTGAAGGTCGGTCGATGATCAGGCCTTTTTGGACGCCTGAGGGACCTCTTGAGCTCGGTTGGGGTTGGACGGCGGTTTGATCCCTATGATTATTATCTCTTGCGTGAGAGCAGGCGACAGAGCAAGAGTTCCGCTGGCATGTAGGCCCAACGCGCTCAGCATCCGAGGCTACAGCAGGGGTACCAAAAGTCTCCCAGGCTTATTCTGCACGCCATAGGTCCGGAGTGGCCCTAGCAGCAAAAGCGCCCACATCATCATCAGAATCATCAGAATCATCATCATCATCCTCATCATCATCAGCAGCATCATCATTATCACCACCAGCAGCAGCATTATCATCATCAACATCATCAGCATCATCAGCATCAGCATCATCATCATCATCATCATCAGCAGCAGCATCATCATCAGCAGCAGCATCCGCATCATCATCCTCGTCATCACCCGCATCCTT